TGGTGAACCTCAATTATCTGCATTGACCGGCAAACAATACCGCCAAGCTGTAAATCGGTCAGGCATTTCTGGCTTATCAACGCTGAAGTAGCCGAAAGAACAGCCTTACGCGGACGTAAATATCCCCAGGCCGAGAAATCTCCTCAACAACATTGCCGTTGGTTTCACCGATTTTACCTGCAATTCAGAGATCGTGATGTGTTCGTGTGGCCATTAGCTCAATATGCATGGAAGCAGGTGTGGAAAAGGTTAATCACGACCGCTGTGTTTGTTTCGCTACATCATCAATGTGTTTTGCAAACTGGGCTTATTTAGACATCGTTGTGATTTGGGAGCTCAAGCAGCGGCAATTAATGCTCGTGATATTGTTATCAAAATAATGTTAGAACAACACAACTACATTGCCGCGGGGCGAGTCAATTAATCACTGCAGCAATCCGGCGGGCAGCAGCCCACACTGTGCAACGCCTCGGCACGCGCGGGCACCGGGTCCATGATGACTGGCGCGCGGGGGTAGGGCGGGGGTGGGGGGGGGGGGGGGAGGGGGAGGCTGGTACACTGCCAAGGATGGCTTCCGTTGCAGACAGGGGGCCTGGGCTGTTTCCAGTGGAGGTCGGGTACGCGGGCTGACCATATGGCGGACGCGTTGCGGCGGCTGCCGTGGTCGGCTTCAAGACGCAGGATTTTGGCTGGTGCGATTCACGTCTAATTGCTGGAGTAACTCAAGAGTTGCCCTCCCTATCGCAGAATGTCCTTTCATAGGATTGGGCCCGCCGACCAAAAAAGCTATGTGGGTTAGCCACGTAGAAAGTGCGGTATGCCTTCCTGATTCATTCGGTAACTTTCTTTTTGCCACGAGCTCGCCAGCTGTGTCGTAACAATGCGAAAAATATTAAGCCAACCATAGGCTTTATGGGAGGCGAGTATCATAGAGGAATATTTCCTTATGACATTGATTTAATCTACAGTGATACGATTTACGGCAGTGGGGTAAAAAGCGAGGATATCTTAACTGTTCCGGACTTGGATTCAGTGGCATTGCCACAGATTTTTTAGTTGGGGGGCAGGATTTTCTAGAGGGCCTCTTGGACAAAACGGGGCCTTCTCACAGGGGTATCCAGGACAGTGTCGCATTCAAAGGGAGAGGCACCGAGAACATAAGGCCCTCTTATCAAACTGTCCATGTGTCATATCCAAATCAATGGCCTTCTTTTCCGGAAAAGGGTCTCCTGCTGCATAGAAACGCCTTCTGATCCGGAATGGAATACTTCCGATCCCCGAAGCGGGCCTCCAGACCTAGCCAAGGAGACCTCGCTATGCTAAAACAAGATATACTGATCTGAAACCGCAACCATCTGATGTATGAAAGGGGCTACTGTTCCAGAAATGGGGGCTCCTAAATATGGAGGGTGCCTCTGTGACCAGGGTAGAGGCCTCCGAGGTCTTATCAGGGTCTTCTGAGCCGGCAAAAGGGCATTCTTTAAAAAAAAAACATTGGACCTTCTCATCCAGAGCATTGGCTACCTTATTCATGAGGTGGCCACATCACCCAGAAAATGGGGCTCTTGATGTAGGGAAAGGTCATCTGAGACCAGGGGTGTCATTTTCTAAATGCGGGCGGGGGAGGGGGGGGGGGGGCAAACCAGAGGTCCGTCAACCGACCCTCCATTTGTTGTCATCGGATTTAGCCCACTTTATTTTGATTGAAGGCAATACATGCCTTTGCTTTTTGTATAACTTATAACAAGTCTTCAATTTAGGAAGTATAAAAGTCCTCCAGGGATGGATCCAGGGAGCAGGCGCTGGACCTACGCGTCACTTCTGATTGGTAAATGAAGGGGCCGTTTTAGAGGCCACCTTAGTGCGCCGGTAGTGCTCTTCTATGGCGTCATGGGAGGTGGCACGCAAGCTGGGTGTAGGGTTACCCATAAATGGCTTTGGTCACACCCACATACCAGCACTTTTCACTTTAATCTCACAAACCATGGTATGCCTTGACCTGTGCCTTGACATGGTATGCCCTGACCGCATACGTGAATGTTATTGCATCGTTTATCCGCCCAGCTGTTAAGACTTGCATCCGGTGGTGAATGCAGGCATGACTTTTTGTGACGAGGGTAGGAAAAGCTCTGTTGTTGGCAGGTGTACAGCTATATACGAGAAGCATTGTCTCCACTGGGAAGCAAAAATCCGGCTACAATAACGGATCTTGCTACCGGGTTTGGGGACCAAGCATCGCGGCAAATTATACACCCTACTCCAGTTTTCTTTTTGTCCTTGAAAGAGGTCAAAGCCCCCCAACCGCCAGCAAAATGGTGCTCCCTTTTTAAATCTAAGATTTGTTGTGACATGCGAGTGGTGCGCAAAAAATAGACTGCAACTGGGTGCCGTACCACATTTTTCAACTCAGCTTTTTGCCATGGCATCAAGAGTTACATCGACCAATACTGGTATGGGATTTAGGCTTAAAGTTAACTGCTTTCATTAGGTACCTAAGGAAATGCGCTGTAAAAACAACGATGAGGATGTGTGTGCTGTAACTGTGGCGTAGAAAAGGCGTGTGCTATAAGCAGGACTTCTGCATGCCTAGCTAGTTTTTCCACGCGCTCGGGTCGGGGATTTATTCGATCCCCTCCCCTTCCGAAGATTTTCCAAAATAATCTCTGACCGGTGCGGCGCAGCCATTTTGACGTTGGTAGGACCGCCGCTACGTACGACAATCATGCTTTTCTATGGGAAGGTAAACATCCGGCAACTTTAAAAACGAAGCTTTGACGCCGCTACGCCGCGCCAAACTTTGCATAGCTGTAGAGAACTGAATAACAGATATCTGTGCATACAAAGTTGAATGCACATGGTCAGGGCGTTAACCTATGGCAGGTCGAAGTTAGACCATGGCTATCAGCAAAGACATTTCCCGTGCAGTCGTTCAAGCTGATTCGACAACGAAATTTTAAGTGATCATCCCACTTTTTTCCTTTTTCGCGTTAATGACGCCAGGGTGAAAGCTTCTTAATTTTCTTTGTTCAATCTTTGGCTTTTCTGCGCGATCTAAGTGCGCAAGCTAATCACGCCTTGTAGGGAGCATCCCACCTTTTGGTGCTTTTCACTCATTGTTACATCAGACGCATGTAATTTGATCAGTTATACCTGTTTTCTCGAAATCTTTCCGAATAACTCAGAATTTCTATTTGAAGTAGCCGATACTGTGGCAGAAATCTCACCGCATGCTCACCGCAATGAAAGTAATGCAATTCATTTCCCGTGCGTTTTCCAACGATTGTGTTTTGTAATATTTGCGGCACGTTAAAAGTTTAAAATGTTTGTGTAATAAATGCTACGAAAGCCTGAAACACTCTGTTTAGACAAAAATACATGAAAGCATGAAGGTATTATCCCGCGGATACAGCGAAACGTTCGGGTAGAGCTGGGATCAACTGAAGTTATGCTGACCACATTCGTGATGTGGCGAAACGCGTGGTGGAGGGTTCGTGGTGAAGAACAAGCGTTCGTATATGGCTCGCCGAAGAGAGCCATCTGGCTGCTGGCTGGACAGCGCCAGCCTGATTACAGGACACCGAGGGTCGTGCGGTTACATGACACGGTGAAGGTCCTTTCGTACTATTTCGATAAGGGATCGAGGCAGAATGGGTGGTCAAAATCTTCATTTTAGGAAGGGGATGGTGGTTAGGGGTGTAAGTAAGAAATTCTTAAGCACGGAACCCGATTCAAAATATGTCCCGGCAAAATTTGGTATTTCGTTATGTGTACTGCATACCCCATCTGATAGCTGAACCAATGTCTTTAAGTAACGATGCCGCACCATAAATTGCATTCTGCCGCCCGATTTTGTTTTCTCATGAGACTATAGCGTTAAGAAAGTCGGGGTTCAAGTAAAACAAGGTTAGGCTGGCAACCTTCCATGGGTAGCAGACGGAGATAAAATGAGAATTATCTCAGGAAGATCAAAGAAGAATGGCTTTGTGTTATGATCATTTTTTATGGCCACCTTCGCTTTTTGTTGTATTCCAGCCAAAAACACTGGAGGGCCAAGCCAACATCGGGGGAGGGCAACTCGGCATTGGGGGGGGGGGGGGGTTAACAAAAGAACACATATTGACATCCGTGTCTGTGACCGATTTAGTGCTCTCTAACACTGCTATGGGGGCCTCCTTGATCTGAATTCTAGTTGAGTGAGATAGGTGTGATAAAGTTAGGGCACCTTCAGTTTTGAAAAAGGGGACCTCCCCGAAAAAAATTGAGGCGGGCAAAAACATTCTCTTGGCCCCTCTGCCCCTCCTTGCTGCGTCGCCCGTGCCTGGAGCTAGGAAGCTGTTTTGTGTAATCAGGAAGTTCCACCCATCTATAAAATGAAAATGGAAAATTTATTTTGTCGAGAAAGCCTTCTGTGTTACAATAGTAGTTTCGCCAACACTAGCAAAGCACATCAACGTATGCTACTGGGAGCGGGAAAAAAACTGCAATATGTTCCAGAATTCCACAAAAACGAAACTGATTTCTTACCTTGCATATGACGAGTCTAGGTGGTCCGGGGGCCAGCGATGGCAGCATCGGGAGAGGATTGTACGGATCCGACGATCACCCAGGCTGCCACAAATCTATACCTCCATCCAAACCCCACCCATAAAGTGAGACTACAAATAACGCTTCTGATGAACAGCGGTATACGCTTGGCGCGATGATTTTTGTTATATTTGTGCTGTGCTTTTCCAACAACAATAATGCGATATGAAACGTGTTGTATATCCCTTTGCAAAAGAAATCAAGGCATCACTGTTCCTCAGTGACGTTAATTAACAACAAATATCTCATCATCTCCCTGGACGGAGGTGACCAGTCAACATTACGCTGCGTGTGACTGAACAACTGCACTGTGAACCTTCTGCGCTGGCCAGAGCGCGACGTCCGCAGCGCACGCAGAGGGGTAGGAAAGGGAAGGGGGCGGAGGGGAGGTGAGCGAGGGGCGGGGGGGGGGGGGCTCAGTAGGGGCGCGGGTAGCGCGGCAGCGGGGACGGCACCACGTCCGGCTGGCGCTGGAACGAGCTGAACCCGGAGCTGGCGCTGAACACGGGGCTGGCGCTGGGCGCTGCCGACAGAGAACACGGCGTGCGCGAGCGGACGAGCCACCTCCGGCAGTCGCGTCGGTGCTGGGTTCACATCAAGTATGTTTTGAGAGGCGCCAACGGCGATGACAGGAACAAGCGAGCACACAAGCCAACGCTCAACACGATCAAGGCGGAGGACGCGCAGCGGAGTACGTGCCCGACGGTGCAGTGGTCAGCAGCCAAGCCTGAGCAACGCGCCGCGGAAGAGGCGGGAGCAGGCCGAGGCCACGCCTGCTCGCTGTTTTTTTGTTGTTGGAGGTGTAGACCTGGAGTTCTTTGAGTGGCACTGTTTCAAAGGATTTAAATCTGCGCATCGCTTACGCGAGCGCAACAATTTGTTATGTCCTGAGCCAGAGCAACAGGCGACTGCAGTGCTAATTGAGCATCTATTCTAGGTTGTCCCAATCCCCATCCACACTTCTGCCAGTCCGGAGTCTGGAACATGAGGCAGCGGAATCCCGCGGAACGCCCACCGCGCCAGCAGGTCCACCTGTCCACTGTGGACGGTCCACTTGGGCGTGGGCTCACCTGTGACCGTGTTGAACTGCGATGTGAGGGGGGCGTACGCGTCCATAGGCGACAGCGGCATGGGCTGGATTGGTCCTACGGGCGGCAGCTGCAGCGAGACACTGGACGTCAGTCTGCACAGCGCGGTGGCGATCATGCGGTCGCTTCGATTTCCAACGTCATGGCCACGGGACACGATGCACAAAATCGGAGAAGGACGTACCGGCAATCAAGCGTTTTTCATCGTCACTTGTTGGCCCCAATCCGGTCAGCCAAGCAGTGCGAGAACGCCGGCTCACGTGTGAAACGTTCAGCCTCAAAACAACAAATCGTAGGTTCGAACCTCACGCCCGACCACATCTCGGTCAGCGCTCTAAACCCAACCCGGAGACAGCGGCGCTGACAACTAGTGCCGCGACCGCCGTGAGCGATCAGAACTCTGCCACAGCCGCCCGCCGCGGCCGGTGGCGGTCCCGGCCGGGGTCGCCGCCGGCCGGGGTCGCCGCCGGCCGGGGTCGCCGCTGGCCGGGGTCGCCGCCGACCGGGGTCACCGCCGGCCGGGTCGCCGGCGGCTGGGATCGCCGCCGGCCGGGGTCACCGCCGGCCGGGGTCGCCGCCGGTCGGGTTCCCGCCGGCCGTGTCCCGCGGCCGGGGTCGCCGCTGGCCGGGGTCGCCGCCGACCGGGGTCACCGCCGGCCGGGGTCGCCGCCGGCCGGGTCGCCGCCGCCGGGGTTGCCGTCGGCCGGGGTCACCGCAGGCCGGGTCGCCGCCGGCCGGGATTGCCGCCGGCCGGGGTTGTCGTCGGCCGGGGTCGCCGTCGGCCGGGGTCGCCGCCGGCCGGGGTCGCCGCCTCCGGCCGGGGTCGCCGGCGCCCCGTCGCCTCACCTGCGAGGAGAGCGGCGCGAACGGCGAGAACGTCTGCGGCCCGGGCCGCGGCGCCGCCGGCTGGTAGCTGCTGTAGCTCAGCTGCTTGGCCGGCCATCGGCGGCAGGTGCGGCTGCACGTGCGTCAGCGGCCAGCTGCCGCTGGGGCGCGGGTCGAGGTCAGGGAGGCGAGAGGCAGCGGCCGGCTGCCGCTAGGACACTGGCCGGGATCAAGTGGGGGTGAAGCAGCGGCCGAGCCAGCGGAAGATGCTGGTGTCGCCGCTGGGGCGGGGGGCAACAACATGGCACACAAGTGAATAAATATGCATGGAATACTGGCTTGCACAGGCATCTCAATCAACATCGGTTATGATTTCATCGGCAATTATTTGTTACACAAATAATATTTATGACTGATATATCGTCCACGCAGTATACGCTGATACGGGAGCTGCTGGTATAACGTCACGCTAGCGTGCCTGCTTTGGGCCACCCGGATTACGACTCGCAAACCTGCCGTCACGCCCACCGGCCAGCCTGACAAGCCCTCTGCCACGCCCCCTGCGCCACGCCCCCTCCCTGCCCTCTCCCTCCGCAGCACCACAGCGCTGCGGCTGTGCGCAGCCGCAACCCGCGGCGACGGCACCTTCGCCCACCTGTTTGTAGCTGGAGGCGGCCGGGAAGAAGGCCCTGGAGTTGTGCGACAGCAGGGGTGACCAGCTGTCGCCGATGAGTGGTCGTGGGAAGGTGGATGGCCGGTACGGTCGCTTCATCCGCCGGCGCCGACGGAAGTTTGCCGTTCTCGAACATGTTGTCCTCGTAGTGAGGGTCTGCGGTCCGAGAGACGGCGGCTCAGAAGGGTCAACGGTCATTTTGTGTTGCGATAGCGCTGCGTTGCTTTGCTCCCTATCGGTATACATTGTCGAATCATCTAATTCAGCTAGCTTTGGTTATGAGTTCAGAATTCCCTTGCTGAGTTATCCACCTGTGATGTCCCCGAAAGTATTGGTTTAACGTCATTGTAGAGCAAACATTCGCTGGACAGTGTTGACAACACTCTCGGTTTCCAGCTGGGCTTATCATCGCCGACCGACATGGATCACTGGCCATCCCCCTTGACAACGTCCCTTTGGAATCGAACTCGACTGGTGACAATTTGAAACCCATCGGTCTAGAAATTTTAGGGAATGAATTTCTTTACTCTCCTTTCGTTCCTTCCGGTCACGCAGCAGGGGACTGCACTGCAGGGAGGAGAGAGAGAGAGAGAGAGAGAGAGAGAGAGAGAGAGAGATAGAGAGAGGAGCGAAGAGAGAGAGAGAGAGAGAGAAGAGAAGAGAGAGAGAGAGAGAGAGAGAGAAGAGAGAGAGAGAGAGAGAGAGAGAGAGAGAGAGAGAGAGAGAGAGAGAGAAGAGAGAGAGAGAGAGAGAGAGAGAGAGAGAGAGAGAGAGAGAGAGAGAGAGAGAGGAGAGAGAGAGAGAGAGAGAGAGAGAAGAGAGAGAAGAGAGAGAGAAGAGAGAGAGAGAGAGAGAGAGAGAGAGAGAGAGAGAGAGAGAGAGAGAGAGAGAGAGAGAGAAGAGGATAGAGGAGAGAGAGAGAGAGAGAGAGAGAGAGAGAGAGAGAGAGAGAGAAGAGAGAGAGAGAAGGAGAGAGGAGAGGAGAGAGAGAGAGAGAGAAAGAAGAGAGAGAGAGAGAGAGAGAGAGAGAGAGAGAGAGAGAGAGAAGAGAAGAGAGAGAGAGAAGAGAAGAGAGAGAGAGAGGAGAGAGAGAGAGAGAGAGAGAGAGAGAGAGAGAGAGAGAGAGAGAGACGTGATAGACAGCCGACGAGCCGTCTTGGGCAGGCGCGGTCAAGCGTCGGTGTTTTCCAATCAGCGGCGGGCACCTTGGCCTCAGGCCAGCAAAAACGTGAGCCACGTGAGCTGTGATGAGTGCCTCTCAGCCAGCCGGCTCTGCGCCCAGCTGCTGGTCAGGTGCAGCCCAGCACGCCGAGGATTGGGGAGCCTCGCTTAGAGGCCGTAGCTCTCGTCAGCACGCGTTCAAATGTGAAAGTACGGTTTGCTCTACACGTATGGGGCCAGGGTTCATGTCGGGAGTTGAGTCGCCTTAAATTGGCGATGTTTAGAGAATAGGCGGTTGTTGTGCTTTCCGAAAAACATCAGTGTGATCAGAAACATATTTATTTTTGCACCTAAACAAGGCAGGCTTGGACAGCAGGCTGTGGGGAGAGGGAGGCTTAAGATACGGAGTCAATTTCTTGAAAGCAAACTTAGACAGAAAAATAAGTTCCCTTCCCATCTTTTTTTAGGAATGTGGCCTGCTTTAACAATACAAAATGACGATAGGACGGTATTGGAGCCCAGTGACCTTGAAGGCACCTCTGCGTCCAGCCACAGGTCTTCGGCAGAATGAATGACAAACACTAAGGTCCAGCCGGAATATTAACAATAGCTCAGGCGTTTATTGCGGCTACTGACTGAAACCGAGTGAGGTATCATATTGTTTTCTATGCCATTGAAAAAAGAACAACTTGCCAATGTTATGTAAATAAATCAGAAATTCTAAGCAACTTAAGAGCAGCCGAGTGGCCCTCCATGTGTTTGAAATAAATGTGTGTTAGCACACAAGATCCATAAAAATACGTCAGCATAGCTTGCACATTCCCACAACTTAAAGGAAGTGCACCTAGTCAAGTTGGGATTTGTAACTGTGCGCGTAGCGTGGTGGGGAATATCGATTTATAAACTTTTGGTGTATTGGCTTCTACCAATTCGCCTCCACTGACGAGATATTGCCACAGCCCCCGAATCTCCTCTGGTTTGTATGCAAGAACGAAGTCATCGGGTAGCCCCCAAGCAATATTCACTACTAAACACATCGACATCGTTGACATGTCATCATTTATGATGTCATGCCAATGTCATGTCGACATGACATTGACATTGACATCAATCGACGGCAAGTCCGTCCCGGTGGCTCAGTTGGTTACATCGCCTGCTTGCCGATCCACCCACCCGTGGCGGGATTGGTTCCAGACGCTTTAGGGCGCCCGCTATTTGCCCTTGACGGGTATGGCCTGCGCCCGGTGGCAGCGGTCGCGCTAAAGGTCAGTTGACGTGAGAGGGCAGGACGGACCGTGCCGAGCATTACGGCACGTTGAGCTTTCGCCACTAAATTCTGCCGTTGCCTGGAGTTGCGCGATCGGGTGGTGGGGGTCAGGGCTCACACAACATGCACTGCTTAGCGTAAGCACTGACCCCAGAAATCCATCCATTCAAAGGGTTCGGATCAAATTCATAACAAAAAATTGAGAAGGTATCGTTAGCTCTAGCCAATCGGTTCTCGAGGATGCCGCTTGTCAGCGCTGACAGCAGCTTGCGAACGTAGCGAGGGCGGCCGCCATTATGCTGATGTTTTTCTTCTTTTTTTTGTTGTTGTTTACATTCAGCTGAGGGCCGCGGGTGTCCGGGGTTGGATGTATGATAAGGCTGGCCAATTGACACACACCGCGTTTAATTCATGTTGGCCTTCGTTGTACTGAGATGAGGCTCACTTACTGTGTCGTGTCAATCGGCTGCGCTATGCTCTAGGAAAATGTGATTGTTGTGGGTTGTTTCGGCAGCGGCAATACGCGGCTACGATTCCTATACCATGAAATTAATAACCGAATTACGAATGCACGTGCACCGAATTCCGCGTCCGAAAAACAAGGTACATGCGCTGAAATTATTGCTGCGATGTCGCTGGTACAGGGCGCATGTTCAATGTATCATGTTTTCCGTCTCGAATTACGCAAGGGATCTTCAAGTGCGTACCGCTTTTTACTGCCCGCACTCTCCCTATGCTCACGAGACCATAGCGCCCAAGATAATGATCATGTCACTAGCGCTCAGTTACTCGACACATATAAGCCAGTGTATTCGTCCTTTTCCACCCGCCGATGAGCTCATTTTTTAACATTGCAGTTGTTCACACGCAGCCATCGATACGATCGATAAAAATGAATTAAATAAAAGCTGTTGCAAGACCCAAACGCATATTTAAGCAGCAAAATTAACCATAGATGGTTGTATAACTACCCTTGGGTGTGTATTCGGAAAATCAAAAACACTAGACACACTCCCTTTAATGCCTGAGTTTAGCAGATGTCACGAATAACAACCTCAGGTTCGTAAGAAGAACCACACGTAGACATGATTAGCACCAAATGATCGATAAATGGGACCAAAGTCACTGAAAATGTTTAAAAATACTGGGTTCTGAGTAAATGAATAGGGCCATAAGTATTACTACCGCATAGCATTCCTATTGTGCCTAGCACTGATCATTCCTATTACAGAACAAATTCTGAGAGATAGCATCGCTATTTGACATTTGAATTGCGCACTCTGAACTGAAATAAACAGATGAGCCCTCAAATTGTTCAGATCAGACCATGTCAAGTCATAAAATGTCATATAAGTGCAGCATGCTAGCCTGTGCAAAATGCGTGGAAATCCCCATTATATCGAACCTGGCTCCAGGCTTTATCAATATTGTGTTGTTACATAAGTTGTTATGTGCATTCGCGAATTTCGCACTTACATTAAACAGTACTTTTGGCATCATTGCTAGTCGAATAACAAGTAAAGAGAAATAGATATATTAACATTTCAGCTACGTGCCTTAATCAAAACGATTATGAGCAATAAATTCAAAAGTCAAAGTGCCCGCCGATACCACTTGATTTTTCAGTTTTTTTTTCTGTAGCAGCAAGCCACAATTTTTATAAGTCATCAACATTCAGCGAACGATAAAGGCATGTAGCCGAAATATAGATACACCTACCTTTCCTTTTTCCAGGCTAAAAGTACTATAATATGCTGTACTTCAGGGATTCGAAACAGGTCGCACCACGATCACGTAACCAGGTCCAGGAAAGAAGTCGAAAATCTCATTTGGCGAGTGTTTTTTTTTTGTGAAACGCTGGATGACGAATGCGGAATGACGACACGTAAAAAAGTCGACGCGGCAAAAAATCAAAAAGGCTAAATGGCGAACTGCAAAAAGGCGGAATGTAAAAAAGTCGGCATGGCAAAATGGCGATGGGCTTAATGGCGACCTGCAAAATTGCGGCATTGAAAAACTGTCGACACGTCAAGTTGACCAACGGCTTAATGGCGAACGGCAAAATAGTGATCTAGCAAAACAAGGATATGTCATATAGCGAACGGCAGAATGCCGAAATACGAAAGGGATATATTTGAATTCGATCCAAGTTAATGGTGCCATTGAAAGTCGTGAACATGTCAAAATATTGGATGGCTGACTAGGCGTTGTTTGCTGTGCAGGGGAGCCATCAAAACGTCTAACATCGCAGCGTCCAGTGACCCATGTGGGGGAGGGGGAGGGGGGGCTGAAGCCCAACAACTTAATAGGAAACTGCACACCTGTATGAAAATTTCTCATTCTATTTCACTATGGACTGGTTGCAGCCTGCGTGCCTCCCACATACGCTCGGCAGATTTCTAAAAATATTTGTCTTTTTTCATGACGCCCTTTCCGTTTTTGCCACTTCAGCATGTTGCTATTCTCTCATGTAGTCACATATTCAACCAAGATACTCAAAGGGACTGTTCCATATCAGTATCGAGTTTTCAGCCAATACTAACTTTTCTTTACGATCATGACGTGCAGTGCACACCTACGCCTTCTTAAAATTTGGAATCCTCCCGTTTCTGAGCAAGGAGTAGCGAACTCGTGCAGACTTTCTCGCGCCGCCCATTTCGAAATCATCTCGATAAGACGCGATAGAAACTCCACACAAATTCTGCCTCCTCCATGGCCATATGGTATT